AGTCTGGGTGTTTCTTGAATATTATGTGCCCACATGTTGGTGTATAGTACAAATGTGACGATATCAAGTATATATGTACTTATCTATTAATGTGTGTGATTATATTTGTGTTTTCGCTATGTCTTATCAATGTACACCGGCAAATGTGTGAGTGTGAGTGTGTGTGCGTGTGCGCGCATATGTAAGTGATACCGCAAACCTGTTAGTGTCCATGTGTGTGAATAACTGAATTTGTATGTACAAGGGGGGGATGCCGTGTGGAGACCCTGTTGTCATGGCAACCAGGATGTAGAGACAGAGAGAGAGCGAGAGAGAGAGAGAGAGTAGGCGGTTGCCCTCATGGCTCTTCTGACAACCTTTATTTCCTCCTGTTTTGTGTCACTCCAATATTAACCTCTAACCCTTGAAAAAATATGAGGGGGTGGGGTGAGGCATATAGTCCTCCAAAGAGGTGAGGGCATTGGAGACTAAGGGAAATATGGCGTGCATTCTTTCTCCGCATCTGACACCAGTGGGAGTAGCCAAAGTATCTAACGGCCGAGCTTATGCTAATAGTGGTATTGATGAATGTGCTGTCCGGGTACCCTGATTCCAGATACGCTGTAGCTCTGCGGCTTTTTTTCCACTGGTAAATTTCCACTTGGCATTGACCATGGATCATCAGTCTTGAAACACATGTTCCTTTTGGCCTTTTAAACAAAGAGTACCGGCATTAGAGAGATATTGGTTTTTCGCTGCGCTGTAAAGCCCCTTTTCCATTAAAGTTCTCAATATTGAATTAATTGGCCGCAATGCCTATTGACCAAGCTAGAGTGCTACCACAGCAGTTTATTAAATTGGGAAAAGACGTTGAATATGGAAAAGAGGGGAAGGCCAGGAGAGGGAAGGAGATGATGAAACGTATTGTGAAAAGTGATCGCTGAAGAAAGCTTTTAGTGTCAGCTACCAAGGGGGCTTGAGAGAGGAGATGGAGAAGACTGATACAAAGGTGACTAGAAAATGGGCACTCATTGTTCTTGGACAGTTCCTATTATAAGACTGAGCTCTTAAACACGCAATCTTCACCTCGGTGGATGATGAAAGACGCCTGTGTTACGAAATGAATCGTGGAGCAGAGAGGGAACAGGTAGCTTGTGTTATTTCACATGATTTGTGGTATTTTTCTGCCGTAGTGACAAAGTGGGTCTGAGTCTTGTCTCACTGCAACAGGCTCATGCATTAAGTATGACCCTGCCAGAGAGAGGACGAGGGGAGGGTGAGAGGGAGAGAATCAGACTGCCACACCAAAGACATCAGGTATAAAGATGGACAGCATCAGTCTGAGACCAAGCCAAATTTATGGTGAGGGGGGCAAATGAATTATGAATCTGGGTGAATTTAGGGCAAATTGTGCCGACAGGAAGGGTATTTCTATGAATAATTCACTCAGTAGGGGGCCTGATCATCTACCCCCCACCAGCACCACCTTGTTCCTCAGGACCCCCCCTCCTCACTTTTACAATCCATTGACCCTTATAATCGCTCACTGCCCTCCTCCTCTATTACTAAAGCTCCATCAGTCCATTTGTCTGAGTGAGTACTCTCTTTGTTTATGTCCAAATCACAATCTTCTCCCTGTCCCTTCGTCTGTCTCTTCTGAGCCCGATGTTTCTCCAGACGAACCCTGGGGGGAAGAGGAGGAGGTAAAGGGGGGGGGCATGTATTCGTTTATTTTTCTCCCCCCTCCTTCCATCCCGCATCCTCGCCCCCTACACATCTTCACAGCTGGAGGTAGTTAATATTTAAAAGCAAGGCATGACAAGGGCGTAAGACCTGCACACATGTTTGAACATGCACACACACACACACACACACACACACACACACACACACACACACACACACACACACACTCTCTCAGACAGTAGAATCCAATAGTGCACCACATCTGATCAAAGTAGAGGCTGTGCTGAGAGAAAACAAGCTACATTCATCAATAGAGAGCAGATCCTCACACAGCTGCATGATGATATGAAGCAAACAGTAGACGTGTGTTGTGTGTAGTTGGTTAGTTCGATGTGTGAAGCTCAGAACATGATTTGACTCTTGGGGTTTGATCTTGATCTCACACATACACACACACACACACACACACACATACACACACACACACAGATACGAGAGCCTATTCAGCATTCAAAGTCCTTGGCAACGCCCAACATGTCTACTTAATGCTAATTAGTACATTTTGCAGAGGACGGAAGGGTGCAATTTCCTATCTAATGGATGGCATGGGGGGTAAACATCAAAATGATAGTGCAGCTATTAAACCGTTCTAATGATAGAAACAATAACATGTCTGGGTTATTTGTGTTTTTGTGAGCAAAACGCCTCTAAGCATGAATCCATGAATGATTTAAAAATTATGATTTGGCCCATTTGATACATGTGCTTTCTTGTGTGAAAAAAAAAAGAAAAAAGACCACACCCTCAAATCTCAACACATCCCCTCATACAATCTCCCTGTGACTGAATGACTTTTGATGGTAACCGTTGACACCCCAGCGGTGATAACAGTTTTTAAAAGCACTCAGAAGCGCTGTGACAGGTCATTCCGGCCCAGCTGCAAACAGCCATCCCATAGTGACCCCTGACCCTGTCCAATGAAGCAGGTAACAGGGCTAGGATTGGATCGCTGACAGCTGCACAGCGGACACCCTGAAGAAGTGAATTCAGGCATCTGCTTCAATGTCAGTGCCTCTCACCCCTGTGATAATGGAGCAGCCACAAGGCTCCATGCCACGCACACTGTGAGGAAGTGTGTTAGTGTGTCTCAGGCCACATCAGTTTGAGCTATCAGCATGTCTGGGTGGCTGGGTTGGCCCAGTTATATGGCAGCCGTCCATGCCACTCTCTCCCTGTCTGTTTGTCTCAGCCTCTCACTCACTCACTCACTCACTCCCTCACACCCCATTATAGTGTTCCCCTTTACTGCTCCGACTCAACATGACTTGAATATTCTGTGGCACAGTCCTCCTCCAGACTGGAGCCCACTGGACCATGGCCTTTTATCTGTCTGATCTCTTCTGTCAGACCACTCGAAGTGTGTCTGTGTGTGTGTATCCGTCCGCCCGCCTTCCTTACTGTCTGTCCCTCCATGCATCACATGGTCCTCTCTCCCTCTCTCTCTGTCTCTCTGAGTGTGTTATTCGCCGACTTCTGCACATGCGGCAAAGTCCCTTGGTAAATTGCAACTGGCAGCATGACAAGCCGCGGCTCGCCACATCGTTAATCAGCATCCTGCTTCGCTCCAATCAGCTCTCCTTCACCGTCTCTTTGGAAGGGGCACTGAAAGACAAGCACCCACCTTAGATCGCATTAACACCAGCTCTAATACCCCGACTGGCCCTGCTACGTTTGTCTGCCTCTAATAGCATTGTGGAGAGTCTGGTTTTAAGATGGGATCACTGTAATTGGCCCTGTCTCCAGAGAACAATACCTAAAGCAGCTCTGGTCTATTACAGGGACTGGAGTAGAAGATGCAGAAGTCGAGGAGCAAGACGAAAGTGAACAAATAATTCACATTGATTGGAAGAGCTTTGCATGTGTGTGAATGTATGCGTGCAAGGGGATGGATAGGATTAGCGTCACAGCTGTCACCCTTTGTCATCCCCTCTCCTCCTCCCCTCTCCTCCTCCCGCCTTTCCTTATCTCTCCACTCCTCCCATCACCTCCCACCCTCCCAGCTTCACTCTGCCTCTCTCCTCGCTCACCTCCACCTCTCCTCTTTTCTCCTCTTCAAACCCACTTTTCCACTTTTCATTTTCCCCATAAGTCCTCCACCCACTTCACCCCTCCCTCCCACCCCTCTCAGTGTGCTTGTTGTTCAATTCTTCTGAAAAAGCAAGCGAGTGAGTGTAATGGCTCATTTAATCCTAATGCTGTGAGTTTAAACTGCCTTATTAAGAGCTTAGCTCTTGTTTGGTCTATAATTTTATCTAATTTGGGCCTTTTGATTAAGACAAATCCCACACTCCTTCTTTTCTTTCGAAGATATTGTTCAATCCATTCTTCATTGATTGACATATGAAACATCCACAGTAATTAACTGGCCAGCCATTACCCACTAGATAAAAGAAAATGAACCATAATCACCACTCTCAGTCCTATTCCCACCCTCCACTCTTCTCCTCTTTACCTCGTCTCCTTGCCTTTCCAATCTTCAAGGTCATCCATCGCTCGGTTCAGTGTGCAGAGCCAAAATCTTTCAATCACATACCGCAGAGCTGCCAAATAAGGAAGTGATGTCTCTGTATTGTCGCCATTGTCTTTTGTCTTACATGTACGTCTTAATCATGGTGTGCTGTAACAGTTCTTTGTGTGTGATACTGAGTAGTGTAAACAGTCAGTGGGTTGCGCCACGTGGTGCCGCGGGGGAGGACAGCCTGCATGTTGTATCGAGGACCGTCTCCAAGAGTACAGATGGAGAATGGATAGACTCTTAGCAGGGGTGGTTCGCCTCACTCACCATGACTGATAGCATCTTTATCGCAGGCTTATCACAGCACTGTCACCAAAGTACACGACGAACTGTTCAGTTCGTGAAATGCAGCCCTGACCAGTCAACCTAATTATCAACTATTTATATTTCTGTCCTGCGTGTTATCTGATTTGACACTTCATCGGTCTGCATTTGTCTGCCCACAGCCCATCCGGGTCTGTTCAGAGTCTCGTTGTGGCCTTTCCATATGGGCCACCGCTCATTTAATTAACCAAATGTTTTTTTTTTCAGAAACAGGTTTAGCTATAGGCGTTGCGGCAGTATTTTTTGTTAGGATGCGCATTGTTGATTCTTGATTGGTTTGTTAACTCCATGTTTCGATCTGTCTATAGGGCTGACCACATGGTGCAGGGTAATTTTTCTCCCATTCTGACACATGGCCCCTCTCTGCCCCTCCCTCTCTCTGTTCCTCTTGTCCTCCCCTCCCCTCGCCTCCCCCTCTTCTCTTTTTATCTTTCAGAGAGGAGATCAGCAGGAGGGCGTGGATCTATAGTTAAAGAAGGAGACAGGAGTGACCAAAGACAGACGAGGCAAACCTGCAGTCCCCTGGAAGAGAAACATAGCCTCACACTTGCTCAGCACGAGTGTGCGTCTGTGCGAGGTTGCCCTTTTACTGTACGCGTGTGTGAGCAGGTGGTACTTTGATGGGACAGTGAGCAATGCCTCACACGCAGCGACAGCAGGTTGGCAGTAGGGGGCAGTGCTCCTCCCACCTCCTCCCCCTCCTCCTTTTCCTCCTATCCCTTGCTGCCCGGCACAGCCAAGCAGCCATACACATACCCTCCAACTGTGAGTAACCATCCATATTGTACAATTCATAACAATGGTGGCTGAACGCTACCTGTTTGTTGTGTTAATTCCATTGTTGATTCATCAAAGCAGGCTAATAATGATCTTTCATCAGGATTAATCAGTGCAAATGAGCAGAATGAACATGTTTCTCTTTCACTAACCTCAGTTTTCAGGGTTGAAATGTGCTTCCATGCTCAAAATACTACAACGTTCGAGGTTTCTTTGTTTAGCGCTTGTGTGCCTGTGGTGTGTCTAATTACTCTGTAATTGATCCCCTCATACTGCATTGATTACTCCCACTATTGATTTGGTTTCCTTGGTGCAAACCAGAATTTGATTGTTGAGTAATTTAATCAACAATTGAGTTATACAACAAAAAAATCCAGCAAGCTTTTTTCCCCCCACTTGCTCTCATTTCTTTCTCTGCCTCAATGCAATATGTGGGCATTAGGAATACAGCTGAGCTTGTGGCCCTGCAGGGAAATTGATCTTCATCTCCTCTGCTGCTGCCGGCCTGCCCACAGAGCTCGTATAGAGGGAGAGAGAATATTGTCTCCTCTGTTGCTTTAGTTGTTCTCTCTTTATCTAAGACTGCTTGCAATGAATCACAGTCCTTCACCACCCACACAGGATTTTAAAAGGATGTGTATACAAACAAGAAATCTCCCATGTATGGACACTCATGAGCTCACACACCGGCAAAGACACGCAATTACGTATTTTAGTGTATATCCCGTAAATGTTGATGAAATGCAGTAAATCTTCAAATCTAATTCCTGGAGAGACGAGGTGACAGACGAGGTGATAGGGCCATGGAGGATGAGGGCAGGGTGATGAGGAGGTGGAAGGAGGAGCAGGTCAAGGATGAAAAGGTCAAGGTGTCCCCAGCCTTTCAATTAGCAAGCTTCTGCCATGTCAATGAGAATCGGTGAGGTCTGGATCAGGATCAATAATGGAGATGGGTTGGAATCTTTGTCAAAGAGGACTGGGTTAAAACACTACACTCAATTACATGAAACATTATACTGCTTATTGTCCACATCTGTCTATCCATCCATCAATGCATCTGTCTATCTATCTATCTATCTTCTGTTTACCCACCCTTCTATCTGTCTGTCTGTCTGTCTGTCTGTCTGTCTGTCCCGTCTGTCTGTTTATTCATCCATCCATCCATCTTGTAGCTATAGATTTTAATATCTCTTTCTCCCTGTTGTTTACTGTAACTAAACTCTTTTTCCCTCATTGCCTTTCTCTGGCCACCACTGTGGACTAACAGACCACATAAGTGATCGTAAGTGCTTTTCACTTTATTGATGTCTATCTGTTTGATGCAGGAGCTGGCAAAGCTTATTGTGAACAACTTTCATTATGCCAGAGAGGTTATTTCCTATCCAGCACAGAGTAAAACTCATTCTGCACTGGCATTAGTGTGCATTTGCTGTGTTATAGACTTGTGTGTGTGTTTGTCCCTGTTTTACGCACCTTGTGTTTTATGGTGCATGTGTGATTGCATGTGAGAATGTGTGTTTTTTTATTGTGAATGGGTGCATGTGTCTATCTCTTTTTTTATGTGGGTGTGTGTTTGGCCTCATTCGCTCCCAATAGGTGAAATCCCTGCAGGGGTGCGGGGAAGAGGAAGTGTGAGGAGCTGCTGTCTGTCTGTAGAGAGGCAGCAGGGCTGTGAGATGAAAGCCACGGGAAAATAAAGAGGAGTTAAAGCGCTAAGCACCGACTCCTCTCCTCCTCTGCCAATAATGCAGCAGTGCCCCCAGCACAAACTTCAATTTGATCAGCTGAGGAAATGGGCTTATTTCCTCTATCAGTGGGAATTCCTTCATTACATTCCCCCACTCTCTCTATCTGTCTTTTTCTGAATCTTGTTTGTTTTTCCCCTGCATCTCCTTCTCCCTTCGCTCCATTTTGCAGTATAGACTCTCTCTCTCTCTTTCTCTCTCTCCCCCCTGTCTGCTCGCCTCACCATCTCCTTTGCTTTTTTCCCATCTATCACTGCCCCCCTCCTTTACCCATTTACCTACATAATGTAAATTCATCTCTATCTTGGGCTCTGTCTCTTTCCCTTTAAGTCAAATTAATGACTGTACCAAACTAGTATCTTAGCTGTGACCTCTATTCCTCTGCCTATGTCTGTATAGTCACCGAGGCTATGTGGAGAAAAAAGATTTAAATGTCTGTCTATAAGTGTTGAAAAACAGGACATAAAAACACGACACGGACCATAAAACATGTGTACGAATCAAACATCCTGATTCAATACAGTATTCACACACACAACCCAGCATGCTGGTTTTTATGACTGTTATTGGGGCATTGCTTTATAGTTATTACAGGCAGTGATGACAGAGAAAGAGAAACATCCTCTGGTCGTCTTTACTTCCACCACCCCCCACACCCTTCAAATCCCTACTTCATTTTCACACAGGCTATTTTCCTCCTTTCCCCTATCTCTCGGCCTCACGAGGAGCCCTGTGCCATATATCTCTTTTTACAAAAGCTCTCTCTCTTACATGATGCTGTATCAATTTCCTCTCATCTCATCCCATTTTCTCTGCCTGCTCTCTTACTCTCACTCGTTCCCTCAGCCTACATTTCATCCTCTTCTCTGGGGAGTCTTATTTTAAGTGATATTGACTGAATATATTCACCAGCAGCTGCTAAACTATGAAAATGAGTGGTTTCTCTGGTTATTCTGTGTTGCATGCTAAGCCTTCATATAGGGATGTTTGTGATATACGATGGGGTTTTATTTGTCTGGAGCTTTTGCAGAACCGTGCAGCATGAAAGTGGATCAGTCGAGTAAGCGTATGCATGTCTATGTAAAGCATACATAGGTGTGTTAGTGTGTACGATGATAATGTGAAAACGCGACTTGTTTCGGTCCTTGCAGTGAAGAGGCCTCCAGCGATCACCACGCAGCCGGAGTCTGTCACCGTCTTCAGCGTTGAGGACCTCGTCATGAGCTGCGAAGCCTCTGGAAACCCTGCGCCCATGTTAGTCAGCACAAACGCATCCACACATCTTACTTAAGTTTGAAGATGCTGTATTAGTCACAGAGGAGCTAGAGCTCTTAGTTATCTTGTTATCCAACTGAGAACAGTGACCTTCCCACTCCTTGTTCGCTTGAGATCTACATATTAGTATGACAGGAGAGCACAGCTTCTCCCAGTCTGAGTTTTAATTTCAACATAAATGTCATCAAGCCCTCGAGCAATCTTTTCTCAATATCTTAGCTGCTCTGAAGTGGAAAACTGCTCTGTTTGCAGAGGAAAAGATGAATGTCTCAATTACACATCACAAGCTTATGAGTCCCACAGGGGCATCTTGTGCAAATTTTGCAGCCATTCTTTTGTTTCCCTAATTCAGCGTGACGTGTAAGAACATCTTGTGTGTGTTAAAAGCCGTTTTTAACGTCTTGGCAATTACAATTTTTTTACTTTCCTGTTTGACTGAACACTCTGTCATCAGTGTTACTGTTTTTTTCTTCTTTTCAAGTTTCCGATGGACAAAGGATGGAGAGGAGTTTGTCCCTGGCAGCGACCCAGAGCTGAAGGTTTCCGAGCACACTGGCTCATTCGCATTCTACACACTCAGTAACACTATGGACACCCTGAAGCAGTACCAAGGCAAATACATCTGCTATGCGTCCAACGAGCTGGGGACTGCTATGTCTAATGAGGCTGTACTCATCACTGATGGTAAGAGCATGCCGATCGCTGATGAATCCTTAAGAAAGCACTGACCAGTTACTGAGACAGAGTCATGACATTTGATCATTTAAATAAATTCACTCAAGCTCGGGGAATATTTGGTGATATGTAATCGTTTGGCTCAGTTTGCCTTATCTGAGCAATCACACCCTTTTTAAAGAATATCAACCGTCCTCTGATCATCACATCAGACATGTCTTTTACAGATGCTGGTTACAGTGTTAGTGCGACTGTAAAAGATCCAGTTTAAAGCCGAGCTGTGTGTTGTCGGCTTTATAATACAGCGATTTATGGAGCTGTGAGCAGAGCCACTGTATAAACCTTTACCTTGCCCTGCTTTATAGAGAACTCATTTGTTAGCAGATGGAGGCTCACGCTGAGACCTCATCGTACTGCCACCCGGAACATAATTACATGCAATAACATGATAATCAGCACACACCAAGGTACACTCACACACACGGTCCCCTGAGCAAAAGTGAGGAGCACCTTCACGTATCCATCCACCTGTGTGACTGAATCTCTCCTGGGCGACCTCCTTCCTTTACAGTTTCCCTGACAACGGTTTCCCCAGAAACGCTCTTTGGTTGATGTCATGTGAAGCACTCCACAGTGGCTCCTGTGGGGTTATCAACAATGGGCAGAGGTGGGGAGGGGGGTGGGAGGAGACAGATGACTCACAAATCACGTCACTGTGCCTCTGCAGGACAAAAGACGACCTGGCGCCTCCCCTACAGAAGCTTTTCCTCAAAATCCTTAAAGTTCCTCACATGGAAATCAATAAATAAATGTACTCAACCGTGTTATTGTGCTTTTAGATGTGAATTGCCTCATGATGTCTCTGGGTAACACAATAAATAGTACAGGAGTCACATGACCTCTATCTACTCAGGGTGTGTCATTTTTTCCATGCTTGTCTCCCTTTAGTGCCTCCGACCCTGCAGAAAGAAAAAAAGGTTACTGTGAAGTCTGAGCAGGGAAGCAGTATTGTTCTGAAGTGTAACCCCCCACAGAGCTCAATGGAGCCAATCATTCACTGGATGGACTGGAGTGAGTACATTACCTTTCCATCTCTGCTTCTATTATACATCCTTCCTATCTCTTCAATAAATCTACCTGAGTCTCAGACTATACGTCCATTCTTTTGTTGTCCACTTTTATCACATACAGAGGAAGCTGATTATTTATTTCTGAAACATTATTTTAATTTAGTCTTTCTCTATACATTTCTATTATTAAAGATAAAATCTCCTCAGCCCCTTTGAAGGCACCCCCAGTCTCCACCACCTACACAACTGTGCCTCTGTGAATTTTATTGAATACATAAATCTGTCAAACAACAAACTAAAATAAAATACAGTATGAAGCAACTAACTTCATATTGTGTCATGTTCCTCTCCTTCTTCAGGGCTCCATCATATCCAACTTAGTCAGCGAGTGGTGGTGGGGAAGGATGGCAACCTGTACTTTGCCCATTTGACGGCAGAGGACAGCAGGGACGACTACACCTGCAACGTCCAGTACCTGGCGACTCGCACCATTCTGCCAAAGGAAGCCATCACACTGACTGTCACTGCTTGTGAGTTTTGCTCTGGATCGACCCAGCTCCAACTGAATTCACTGAACTGAACTGTGATCCTAAAAATTAATCTCTAGATTAAGAATTCCTTCTTTCAAAATGTCAACCAGTCAAAATGCAATGGACGAGGTTGTAGGAAAAAGAAGTCTAAGTCAAACTGGAAGTTAGATGTCAGACTCATGGGAAACACTAGATTATGCAAAATATCACACAAGAGATTACTATTTTTTATTTATTCTTATTCAATATTAAAAGATTCTTTTAAACCCCCCTGTCACACACACACACACACACACACACACACACTTCTGTAATGTGGATATTTTGGTTTGCCTCTGAGATTCCTGCTGCCTCCTCAGTATAATTAAAGGTGAATTAAGGTGGAGTTTCATGTGCGGTGCCCATAGCGTTGACAAATTACATTTTAAATAATCAGCAGCAGCATAATTTCCATAAACTTTTCACAGAACACACTGTCAACAGTTTTTAAAATACTTTTTTTCCTGTTCAAGTAGTTTATTAATGAAGACTGAGAGTCTTCAAGAAGCTCTGTGAGGCTGTACGGATACAATATCATATACCAACATGCTCACAGTGATAGCATGGATGATGCTTGCCATGGTTACTGTCCAACAGATTACAGTGGCAGCTGTGACTCAGGAGGTAGAGAGGATTGTCCAGAGAGGGTTCGATCCCACATTCAGATGTGTTCTTGGGCAAGACACTGACCCACAAATTGCCCCTGCTGTTCTCACAGTGAATAAATGGTGCGTGAATGGATTCGACTTAGGGGATACGACTGGGGACTGGCTCTATAAAAGTCAATTTACCGTTATTTACCATGAAAACTTTGACCTGATGATGGTGCAGGATGACTAAAGGGGGAGATGATCCAACAAAGAGCTAAAACATCTCTCTCCAAACTGTAAATATCAACAGTCAGAGGATCACCATCATCCAGGATTAACTGCTCAGGAATCAGGCTCATCCGCACTGAATTCCATGGCAACTATTGACATTTTTCAGTCTGAATCAAATATGTTGATCCACCAACCACCCAAGAGACCACCATTGCCATCCCTAGAGCCATACTGCCAGTGTACAGCAGCTGCATTACTGTGTATAGGTCTGTATATCAAATTGGACCACACAGTGTGATAGTCTGCATTGATGTGGGTTAAGAATTGTCACCAACAAAGTCACCTCCATGTGGTGGCATGTTGTGCTGACCAAAGCAGGGACTGTATCCAGTAGATGGTCTCAGAGCCAACAGGGGGCCCATCGCCACTTCAGCTCAGTGGTAATGAGATGCAGCTCACACTGAGATGTGGCTGCCAGCATCTGTGGCCCAACCCGGGGTCAGAAAGATGAGCACATGTTAACACGAGACCTCTGTGTGTGTGTAGGGAATCTGTCTGATGATGCGTTGTAAGGTGAATTCGGTCGAAAAGTTCTCTGCATGACTCCACACCCTGCATCTGTGTATGTATGTGTGTGTGTGTTTGTGTGTGTGTGTGTGTACGTGTAGAGCCCCTGAAGTGGTTGCTGCACCAGCAGGACGGTAATCTGAAAATGACCTATACATATGTATGACTCCTCTCCGTCTTTGTGTTTTCACCTCTCTTTCTTCAGCCAACTCGGTAGTGCGGAACAAGAGGCCTCAGATGATGAGACCTACTGGAAGCCACAGCACTTACCACGCCCTCAGGGGCCAGACCGTGGAGCTTGAGTGCATCGTCCAAGGCCTGTGAGTGTCTCTGTGTGTGTACATGTGTGTGTGCTCTGCTTCCATCAGTCAAAAAACTTTGCTTCTTCTAATCAATCTTACCTGCTTCTTATCCCGCTCACTCCCCTCTGCCTTCCTCCCAAACCTCTCTTCATTCCGTTATCTATCTTGTGCTGTCTCTTGCCAACTCGGCTTGATGCTGCCTTCTCATTTAATGTATTACTCCTCTTCTCCCTACATGACTCGTTCTTCATCTTACATCCGCTTCCTCTCACTTTCAACCACTTGATCTGATCATTGAATCTGCAATGCAGTAAACTGGAACCAAAATCTACAAGACACAATTGCAGAAATAACTAAATAGACGCAGGATCAGCAATCCTGTTCTCTAAGTCCCATCAAACACAAAACTAAAAATTAGTGCACAGAGAATTTTGCTGCTCTGAAATTATAAATATTTGCTTCCAATTATCATCTAATCCTCATCGAAATCATCCTACCACCAACAATAATCTTGTTTCATCCTCCCGATTTCAAACCATTGACAATTTATTGGAAAACTTTATGAATGTTTGCGACCTGTTGTTTTATTTTCACATGTAACTATTTTATTGTCCCCTTTTTTATAATCTGCTTGTATTTCTTTCTTCTTTTCCCTTTTTTATTTGTGTTTAGCATTTTGTAACAGTGCTATGTAATTAAAGTTGATGATTACATTTATAATTCCTCTTCAGTCCGACTCCTGATGTGATGTGGCTGAGGAAGGACGGTGAGCTCTCTGAGTCTCGAACCATGAAGGACATGTTTGACCGCCGCCTGCGCTTCAGCAACATCTCGGAGAGCGACGCGGGCGAGTACCAGTGTAAAGCCACCAACTCCCAGGGAAAGATCACACACACTTACACTGTGATTGTGGAAGGTACGTCATATACAAATACAGTATAATATTGTTAAAGAATATATATTTTGTCCCTATAGATAAATACATTGTAATAACACATGCACACTCTTGTTCACAATCATTCCAGTGCATATTTTGTTTTATGATTTACTGTATATGAACTCAACTATATTGAATGTGAATAGGAATGAGTCTATGATTTTACATAGAAACTGCCATCACCCTGATTCACAGTTAATCACAACACTGTTTATTTGAATCATTAAGTTTAGATGTTTTGTGGTTTATGAGCCGGGAGGACCCCTCTGATCTTTTAGTTGTTGCACAAAGCAGAACCAAAACATTTGGTGAAGCTGCTTTAAGCCATTACGCTCCTAGTTGCTGTAACAGGAACTGAGAGGAGCTGAAAAAGGTTGATATTTTCAAATA